ACAACATTATCCCATTCTCTATATTCTTGTCGAACTTTTGTTAATGAATGATCAAAGGTCTTCCAATGCCAGTATTTTCCACACCTTCATGAAAACCATTCTTGGCCCAGTATTAGTCACGCAGTATTTTGTCAACTGCAGATCCTATCCATCCACCACTCACCTTCAAACCAGTAAAAATGACATCACTACAGGCAATAAAGTCCACTTATAGGTAAACAGATGGAAAGAAGCGAGCTACAGGTAAGTCTGAGTCCCTCAATGACTACTCGCTGCTACTTATAAGCAATAAGTAGCAGGGCGCAATCAGTGAACCAAGAGTTTACGATAAAAGAGCTTGCAGATTCGGTAGAACAGGAGGCGAGCATCTGCACCTTCACATCTGCGATCGTAAAACACCACAGCGCCACGGAAGCTTAGTGACGTCACCAAAGTGGGAAGTACACGATGTGCCTCAGGGTGGCAGTGGGAGGACCAAACTAGGTCGAAATAACAGCCTGGCAACAGTAGGCATGTAATGGGATATTCTACCATTTGGGAGGATAACTCGCTGTTGTAACATGGAATTGTGGGCAATTCAATGTGCCCACAACACGCGAAGCAAGATGAGAGGCACCTCAATTGAAAAGGTGCCTTTCCTCGTGCAATCCACTTTCTTGTGTGTCGACTCCACCCATACACCACTCATCTAACAATTTCTCCATCAACTACCACCTCTCTTGCAATTCCTGTTCGCATTCCACTCACCCTCCCCACCCACACACCCCCCCCCATCCAACACATTGTCACGGCAGGCTGCAACACCCCACGCAAATCGCACGACCACACCCTGCCACAATTGGCGCGGTGACTACGCAACTGGCGGAGTGATGAGGCCTGACGTGCACCCTCATGCATCACTCGCCTACGGGTGAGGTGCGACGCGCGTCGTTGTCAGAAGAGCTTTAAGGATGGGTGCCACCCTAACGGCACCACCACAACCGCTAGCAGGTCGCTACTAGTCGTAACCGGAATACGTGCTGCTCGTCGCCCTCCCAGTCCGCTTTTGGTCCCACCTCGCACCACATCGCGTCCCCACGTTGGCCATGATATCTTCCCCGATTTGGTGGGACCCAGTCCAGACAGCAGTGCTCACCACATCCCAGTGCAACATTTCATCGCCTATCAACCAACGTGGTGGTTGGAATGCGGAGACGTACAACAGAATTCACCTTAACTCACCTTCCACACGAAAGTGTGAAGCTAAGTTGTTTGGTACGCGCATCGTCAAAGTGGGGAGGAGGCGACGAACAGGAAAAGTTCTACATGCTCTTGTGTGCCAAGGCCTTCACGAGGTGGCTATCTGGTGGGCGAAGTGTTAACAAGAACAGTGGATAGAGTGATGGACAGTGTCTGATCAGTGCCACCAGTGGGTAGCGACTGAGATGCTCGCATTGACAACACTCCCACACACCACCTTCTTCCCTCACTTCACTCATCCGCCATGGACTCGCACATTTCACGCTCAACCGACCGTCTCCGCTTCGCACACTTATGCCGCAACCTTCCACACATCCATCCATTCATCCCTCCATCCATCACTCTCACCCGCGTCCACACATTGAACAATCCACTTCAACAAGTGCATGGGATAATT